TTACCACTGAGTGAGAAAGCTTTTTATAATTAGATAGATGACTAGTGAACCTGAAGGCCTTCTTCATAAGTTTAAAATCTTACATATTAGAACTTATATCATTTCTATATAAAAAAAATATTGTGAAGTTAATACTATATTTAATTACACAATTTAAATTATTAAATAGGTGAACTGCTTAATATTAAAAATATATTAATTACTCTCCTAATATTAGTATTGCACGTCTTTCCATCTAATAATTTTTAATTTAAAATTTAGGATCCATTTAGTTATATGCCACTTTATTAAAAAAGTTTTTACTAAAAAATAATTATGAAAATATTGTACAAAAAATTAGAAAATAATATACAAAAAGTTACTATTTTTTGTAATAAAAGTTTTATTAGAATTTTGTTAAATTATTAATTTGTTATGTTTTGTAAAAAATTAAGATAAGAAAATTTAATAGGTAAAGTTATTAATTGGATTTTAATATAGAGATAATTATAGGAAAACTTTTTCTTTATAAAATAAGTAGAAAGAATTTTACAAGTTAGGAATTATATCAAGAAAATGAAAGTTAAAAATATCACTTTTACTCTTATTTTATTGTAATACTAATATGCAAAATGCATAAACAATATTATTAAAAAGAAATTTTAAAAATTTTAGAGAAAAAAATTTTCCACACTAAAACAGTCTCTTAATACAATTTAGGTTTAAATTATAAAATGAAAGACTCTCCTTTCCTTGTTACTTCCCGCCATCACTTATCATTTACGAGTCATCCTCCACCTTTATATTTAGAGAAAAGTTCCAGAAGAGTTGGTACATAAAAGTTCTTCCGATTTAAATTGAACTAGATCAAATATTTAAGTACTTTTTTTGTTTTTATTTTATTTTATTTATTATATCTTTTCTTTATTTTTAATAAATTTAGTTTATTTTTTATTTTTAAAATGTAAATTTTAAATAAAAATTTAATAATTTATAAGATAACAATTGAGAATTTTTTAATTAAATAAAAATACTTAATTAATAAGAATTGTATATAAATAAAAATTTTAATTATTATTTATATAAATTGTTAAATTTTTGTTTAAAATTCATGTATTAAAAACTAAAAAATCAAATTAAATTAAAAAAATAAAATAAAATAAGTATCATAATTAATTTTTTATTTTTTTATTTATAATTAAATATAAAAGTTTTAAAATATTTTCATCTCTTATAAAATAAAAATAAAATATTAATATTTAATATTTTATTAAAACAAAAATATAATAATTATATTATATGACCTTTATTTCTTTTTTCTAATAAAAAGCATGCAACTGAGTCAAACTTTCAAATCCTAGGGCGTATTTATCAATCTTTCTCAGCACGACAAAGTAACGTGTCGATCCTTCTTTCTTTACGCTCAAGTATTTATTCGAAACGCGCGTGTTCCACTTCATCGTGCTCGGCACGGGTCCAGACTCCTCTAATTAAAAAAAAAAATTTAATATCTACTTTTGTGATATAGATTAAATTTTATTTATTATAATATTTATAATTAATTTTACATAAATTTTTATATAAAATTTAAATAAAATATAATATAATATATAAAAATATAATATAATATAATATTTTACTTTAAAATTTATAAAAAAATTATAAATTGAATATAAAAAATTATATAAAATTAATTAAAAATATTTTAATTAATAAATTTTAACACGTATCCAAGAAATCCAACTAAAAATTTTGCAAGTAAAACCGTAGTAGTTGCCTTGGAACTCTTAGCATGTAATTCTGCAATCTTGACCATTTGTTTTGCTACTTGTCTGGAAAAAATGCTGTCGAGAACGTAAGCTTCACGTTTGTCGTGATTTTTCAAACAAAAGCCCACGATTCCCTTGCAGGAAAAGAAGCAAAAATATCCTTAAAGAATTAAAAGATTAAAACTACTTAATTACCTAAAAAAAAAAAAAAAACCAATAAAAGCATTCAAGGCCCAAATTAAATGGACTCAAATTCAGGGTCTTTTCAATTCTTTACAACACTAACTCCTCTGGGTTTAGTTGGTAATGATATCTGGTGTTGCTTTATAATTGTATTTGTTAAAGGTATTGTATTATATTATTATAAAAATATTTTACATTTAGTAATTATATTTTTAAAAATTATTTATTGTAAAATTATTCAATCAGATATATAATCATTGAAAATTAAATTAAATTAATTAATAATTTAATATATAATATATGAAAAAAGATTTAAGAATTTTATTAAATTATTTAAAAATTCTATTAATTTTATATAAAATGACTTTTATATTCTTTTCTGAAAACACTAAAGATGAATAATTTATCAAATGTATATATTACAAAAAAAATTCTATAAATATGTGCAAAAAATACTATAAATAACGTTATCAACCTAAACCCCATTGTTTTAAAAATTAGATCAGATTGACCAGTCGAATCGACACTCAATACCATAAACGAGTCGCATAAGTCC